TTAATTAATTAATTGTTTTTCTACTTCTTTTTCTTGAATTATATAATATTGTGATATATAAGTAAAAATTAAACCCAGCTACATTGAAGGACACATTGTAGACATAGTTATGTAGTGTATCATCTTTTAGGATAAGTTTGGTTTAATATTATTTTTCTCTCTTCCTCTTCTTTCCCTCATTTATATAAGTAAAAATTAAAAATAAAAACATCAACTACGTAAGTAGTTTAATATTTTTTTTTGAAAGAAAAAGATTTTGAATTCAAATCGTATGACATATAGGTGAGGTGAGATAAAAGATGATGGATAATTATTTCTTATTGTACAACCAAGATAAAAATATAAATAAATAAATATATATATATATAAATTACATAAAAAATTTCGGTTTCCATCTAATATTTACTAAATATCTCTACTCTCTTGAATCAAATATATCTTACCATTTAAGGCAGGCGCCGTAACCTGGCGTGCCAATTTATCGGTACTTGTTTCAAGGATTGGCACAAAGTGTCTCAGGCCACAACAATGCCACGCTGGTTGTGTCGTATGCTACAACAGATTCTTAAAAGTCTATGTCACATTAACATAAATTCGTTTTTATGGCAGTTGCAAGAATAGCAGATTCGTTCATCAAACTTGAGGAATAAACCTCGCAGGGTACAAGGCCCCGCCTGCCTGTGCTAACAACTGAACATGAATGATTTATATATATATATATATATATATCTATATATATATACATACGACAATAATGTCTATGCATCTTATTTTTTAAAATGTCATTTTCTATAGTACTTTAATAAAATTACATAGTTTTGAAATAATTTTCTCTTAATTTTTAAAAAATAAGGTGGATAAGTAGTAATTTATATATATATATTTTGTTCTTATAACATGATTACATAGAAGATAGTGATTGTTGTACACTTTAATTCAACATATTATACAATATACTCATAAAAAATTATTATTTTTTAATCTAAAACTAAAGATAAATAAGTTTAAAAATACAATTATATACACAATATATAAAAACTGGATGAATCGATAGCATTTATATTATATTTTTAATAATTAAGTCAAGTATATATCAAAAAATATGTTAAACCAAGAGTGCACAAATAATTTTCCTTACATAGAAGATTATATTTAGTAAAGGGGAAAATGCCCATACACCTTACTTCTTTAAATTAAAAGAAATTATTTAAAATTATGTAGCTTCAATATTTTTTAAAAAAATTAAAATATTAAAATTTTAAATATGAATTATATTATTTTAATCTTTTTCTTGTAGTATTTTATTGAAAATACTTGATTTTGTCGTGTTTTATTAAAATTACATAATTTTAAGTTGATTTCCCTCTTATTTTTTAAAGAGTTAAGGCAAATAAATACCAAAATACAATTTGAAATTTTTATTATTTATGTCATTTTTAAAATAAAAAAGTATTTCATAGTTTAAATTACATCTATACTACATAATTTAAATCATTAAATAAAAAATAACTTTTAATATTATTTTTTTTTATCATCTAACCATTTTTATTTTGCAACCTAATATAATTTAAATTACAAATTCTTGCACTAGTTTGTAAAAACAGTATATTCTCTTTTTAAAAAATAAATAAATTGTATTTGAATGAACAAGTGTGCAACATCTTGGGCCCAACACATAGTTTTTGATGTCAGGCTGTATATAGCACGAGCAAACCAAAAAACAAGCCACAACGAACTTGGCCCATATCACGTGGAGTCCAGCGGTCCAACATTTAGTATTGTCCGAACTTGCTTTTGTTTAACTCTTTAGTTTCTAGCCATTGGATTAGTTAAACCACATCCTGACCGTCCATGTTGTCGCTTTTATAACTCGCACTCGAGTACATCTTAAAACACGAGCACTGGGGAACTCGAAGCTCCCATTCTTTCGAACAGGGAAACTTCTGTCTTTTGTACTTCGCGAATCTCTCAAAGGTATAAATTCTCAAAATTACGTCTTTTGCTCTGATTAGGGTTCTTCGTTTTCAATTCCCGTACAAATTTAGTTTCTTTTTCTGAATCAGGTCATTATTTTGGGTTGATTTTAGACCAGGTTGGTATTAGGGTTTTGAGAAATTTTCGATTCTGTTAGCTTTCTGTTTCAAAAATTTTACCTTTTTGTTTTTAGTTATTGTTAATCATCTGAATTAAGTAAAGCACTAGTGTTCAATGTTTTAGAGTGGCTGTGAGATTCTGTTGCCTTAATTAAGCATCGATACTTTAGTTTCAGGTTCTTTGAGCAAAAGAAAGGGCTGCCCATGGGGTCTTGTTGTTGTTGTTTTTTTTTTTTTTTTTGGGTGTATTTTTAGCTGTGATTTGCTTGCATAATGGGAATTTGCTTGTTTGCTGTTTTATGCACTGTAGTTTGCAATGCCTCGCCATGATGATCGCCATGGTAGTACACGACTCTATGTGGGTCATCTGTCATCAAGGACACGCTCACGTGACCTCGAACACATCTTCAGCAGATACGGAAGGTAAATACTTGTATCTTCATCTATGAGGGTATGGTCTTAGGAATCGTCTTTTACATTAGGTGCAGATTGCAGGGCCACTTAGGTCTCCACCAAGCTTCTTTTGTGGTTGGATTTAGCTTGACTATTAATCATGTTACATGAGTGGGAAAATTGTGCCCCTAGGTGTAGTGTGTTTTAAGTTTTAACTTGAATGATCTTGTTGAAGGTTTCTGGGCTTTTGGCTGACCTGGAGGCCTATGGTGAGAGGGTCGCCTTGGTGGAATTGGTGGAAATTCTTGCCCAGTGTATAGGAGACTTTGGTGATTCTCTCTATAGTGTTATTGCGTGTTTTAGGGGTGAAATGGCAACAATCTCAAAGTGGTTTTTAGTTCGTCTGTGAGGGGTGAAGTAACGTAGACTTGCAGTACTTAAGTAATGATGGCCTTACTGTTTCTGGCAACTATTTCCGCAGAATACGGGATGTGGATATGAAGCATGACTATGCCTTCGTGGTAAGTGCACCTGCCTCAGTCCTCTCATGTTGTATACCTTTATGTTGTTGATCATTGCTCTGGGTTGTCTTCTAGTTTTCGAATAAATTGATTATCAGTTTTGTGAACTGGACAATGGTTCTTGGTTTGCTTTTGTTTGTCCCTACTTTTGTGAACAGGAATTTAGTGATCCCCGAGATGCTGATGATGCAAGGTACAGCCTAGATGGTAGGGATATTGATGGGAGTCGTATCATTGTTGAGGTTGCAAGGGGGGTGAGTACCTACTATCCTGGTTGTTCTTTTTAATGTCTATTGATGTCAGCTATTGTTGAAATAGGTGGCTTGTTGTACTGATTGTCTTCATGAATCTGCTTTGCTTTGCTTTGCTTTGCTTTGATGTGGGTTAGGTACCACGTGGCTCTCGAGATTATTTGGGCAGAGGCCCTCCCCCAGGATCTGGTCGCTGCTTTAATTGTGGCCTTGATGGTCATTGGGCTAGAGATTGCAAAGCTGGTGATTGGAAGAATAAATGTTATCGCTGTGGAGAAAGAGGTCATATAGAGAGGAACTGTAAAAACAGTCCAAAAAAGCTAAAGTAATCTTTTTTATTTCTGAAGATCACCAACTTTGTCACATAATCTCATGAACGTTTGGGACTTTTTATCTTCTTTTTTTCCTTTTTTTTTTATTCCATCTCTTGTTGAGGACTTGCAAAATCTTGATCCTCTTGCTGCTGTCTTATGTCATTGTTTCTTGTGTATTGCAGACGTTCACCAGTTAGGCGTGGTAGAAGCAGAAGCAGGAGCAGGAGCAGGAGTTACAGCCGAGGTCGGAGCTACAGGTTAGTTTTTCTGTGGTCTTTAGTTTTCTATAACAAAGAGGGAAGATTCAGAAAGCAGTATCCATGATAAACTCGTCTGTTGTTACCTTTATGCATCAAAAGTGGATAATGGATTGGACAAACTGAATGTAGACAACTGCTGCTTTCCTCTTTGGTATTTGTATTTTTATTTTTATTTTGTAGATCAGTTGTTTATTTAGTTACTTTTCTGATCTGATCTGATCTCCGTACCATGACAGCCGATCAAGATCACCAACCAAAAGAAACAGAAGCATTGAGCGTGATGATCGATCACTGAGCCCTGTGCCAAAGAATAGCCCGCCTCCCTCCAAGGGGAGAAAGCGCAGCCTCACACCTGATGAAGGCAGTCCACGGGAGAGAGGTAGCCCTTCCCCCAAATATCAGAAAATGGCTTCTCATGAAGATGAAGCTGAGTATGGTGATAGCCCAAGGCAAATGAATGGTAGCCCAGCAGGAAGGCCACATTCTGAAGCCAATGGTAACAGTAGGAGTCCCAGTCCAAGGGATGACAGAAGCCCTGTCGATGATGATTACGAAGATCGACGCTCCCCCAGAGGCAGCGAGTCTCCTTGAAATTTTCTCCCTCTTAATCCATGTTCTGGACCATTGTGGTATGCTCAACTCAGTACTTTTCAAAACAGAGGATTGTGTGAGATAAAAGTTGACACGCATTTTAGCATTATTTAAACTTTTTTATGAGATAAAAGTAATTTTTATTAATGAATTTGCTTGAGATAAAGGGTTATGGTTATGATCATTATTAAGTTTGTGAAAGACTATCAAAACTATCAAATTTTAATTTCAATTTTGTTGTTGAAAGTAAGTTATAATTAATAAAATAGTTAATATTTATTATTGTATTTTTTGTTATAAGAGGAGGGTGTAATAAATATATATTTTGTTATAGGAATAATTTTTTTATATAATTTTTTTATTATCTTTTTATATAATTTTTACATGTCATTAAATGAGTGAATACATTTAATATTATGAGTTTTACTTATTATATAAAGATATATTTATTATACTCTTAACCTGTGTTTTTATGATATAAATTAAACAAATTATTTATTAGTTAACTAATTGAAATTATTCTATAAATAAATATTTTTAAATATTATAATTAATTATTTAAGTAAAAAATAATAATAAATTGAAGAATTTATAGTAAATTCTCTGCTAGCAATAGCCTAGTCATGATAGTACCTATAGTTTAAGCACATGGAACGGAACAATACAACTGCAGTACCGGATTCTGTTAAAACCGTTAAGTCGAGGGGAAAATGAAATAAAGTGGGATTTAAACTCTGGATAAAAACGCAATTCATACTCAACGCCAATTCTTGGATCTTGATTTTCATCTTGATTTTCTCAATCAAAAATGGCTAATCTTCTCCTCTTGCTCCTCTTACCTCTCTTTGTAACCATTCCCACAGTCAATTCCATTTTCTCCGACTCCATTACCACCTCTCTGTCTTCCACAGGCTTCGCCCTCTTCGTGCACGCCCTCCGTGCCCACAACCATACTTACCCCCCCACCGCCGCTACCCGTCTCACTTTCCTGGCACCGCTGGACTCTGCTCTCATCAACCATCGCATCGATGACAGGTTCCTCCTCAGCCATGTTTCCCCAGCTGGAGCCCTTCCGTACGAGTCCCTCCTCTCCCTCACGCCCAATTCTACCCTCTCCACTCTCCACCAGGACAACACCCTCGTCGTCCGTAGCAACCGTTGGGCGGTTCGTTTCAACGACATTCCTGTCGTCGCCCCGAATCTCTATGTCGATGATTCTTGCGCCGTTCACGGCGTTGACGGGCCATTAGTTCCTGCCTCGCTGCCGCCACCCGCCAACAATCCTCCAAAACCAAGAACGGAGATCCCACCATCTCCTCCGCGGGTTCCAAGGCGCAAAGCGCTTCAGATTTCAGCGTATTCACGGTTCGTTCGCCGCAGAAACCGTCCAATTCACGTCGCTGAGAAATGGGTAGCAACTAATTCGCCTTGATCAGGACTCAAAATCTTGCGTTTTTCTTTCATTGGGCATCGACTTCTCCATCTTCCTTATCAGGCTCATTTTTGTTACCGAAAACTACATTCATTTCGGTTAATAATCATGGTTGTTTCGATTCCATTGTTCTTTTTAATTTGAGTTGTATTTTCAGAATCATGAAACCAAGAAAACAATGCAATTTTTGATGTCCATGGCGAGCCAAAAAAGGAAGCTTTCCTTGAAAGTAGTGTACTTCATTTGTAGCCCATCTTGTTTTTTTGAAAAATTTTGGCATTATTTACAAATATATACAGAGAAGGAGAAAATGAGTTTCATGAGACTCGAATGCTTCACTCACGAAAATTAACAGTCCTAACTCAAGGTTTAAGTCTAATACTACTGAGTCAGAATGGGCATTTCATTTGTAGCCCATCTTGTTTGAAGGGAGGTAAAGGCAAGTTATTATAACTAATTAAATTATCTCCTGGTAAAAGATTCTTTGCCAGCCGTTGCAAGGAAGAACATAAATCCTGGTATATATGGCGGCATGAATGAAGTCAGATTTTGTTAAAGCATCTTTGGTTACTTCTCCCTGTTTGCTCAATAAACCAGGGATATCTGGCTGTTACGCCAGAAATTGCACTTATCAATCATCACTACTTGTATTTGGCCAAAAAATTCATCATTACTAATAAGAGAAAAGAGAATCAGGACATCCCTTTATTCAAAATAGTAAGATGTCTTATCACAGTTATTAAATATTCAAAATAGTAAGATGTCTTATTACAGTTATTAAATATGTAAAATATAATGTAACTTTTGATTTCATCAAATTTATTATATAATTATTATTAAATATCTTAATATATTTATTGTCGAAACATACTGATATTCCCTTTCCAGAAAGGCATTAACTTGCTTGCATTTAACATTCTCGGTTATGATTTTTAATTATTTCTTAAATAACAAGAGATGCTGACCACTTTAGCAGGCCAAAGAGATTTATTTAACAAAGGTACGGTCTACAGAAGTTCATATATACACATATGTGATCAAGCTACATGGATCCTTAAATGCCCTTTCAAAATTTTGCAGAAGTGATTTCCTTACTGTACAGGAGTTTACCAAGTTACTATTTCATTATACACACTAAGGTCCAAGACCCAGTTCATCCTCAATGTCATCCCCATCTTCAAATAGCTTTAAAAACCGAGCCTGATCTTGTTCCCTCTTCCTCTTTTGCCAGAACTTATACACTGCTACTGCCGCAATAATCATAACAGTTGAAACCAGTGCACTGATCACTATCACTATAGCAATATGGCTTTTGTTAACCCTCTTATCCGATGCAGAGGCCTCAGTGGAATCTACAAACATAGAGGAAGCAAAATATATCATGAATTCAACAATAACTTGTCTATTTGAATTGACAGTACAGCAGAGAGACAGGTGAGTCCTGCAAATGCATATATGATAAGCCCAACCACAAAAATGTTAGAACTATTACAAGGTGGGCAATGTAAGTATTTCTGGATTTAAATAGGAGTTATGGTATCAGCTTACGTTATAACTGTCCAATAAACATTAATTTGAACTGAATATGGTTGCAGATACAGAACAGCTCAACAACACCACACCATCCATAAGCTTGCAGCTCTCAACCTCAAATTTTAGCAGTTGGCACTCCCAATATTCTCAGTTAAAGATTTCACTAAAAATTTTACTCTCTCGATTCCTATTTTTCTGTCACCTTTGACTTTTGTAAATACTACTTTCGGTAATGTTTTTATATGGAATATGAATGACAACTACTATTATTATTATTTTTTAATCAAATGAAACGACTTAACAAAAACTACATATAAAAGCATTACCTAACATTGCGTGAGTCAAAGTGACAAATACATAACTCAGGGGAGTATTATAAGTTCGTGATAACATGCTCATTTTGTCACTTGAAAAGTGTCAGCGAAACTAATTTGAATTTCAAATTTATTTGATTTATGTAAAGTTGAAGGCAGAAAAGCATCTTCTAAAGTTACATATAAGCTGGTGAAATAGACATAATATGAAAAGATTAATTTTCAGAGAATGTCTAACATGCTAAAATTTTCCTAAATTAGCCCACCAATGCAGCACATTGGCAGTAAAATCTTCCAATAGCTACCATGAATGTAATTTGGAATTCAGAAAGACTTCAATAAAAATGATAGTATTCTTACCATTTGGAACAGATGCACATTGTGAACATAGGAAAGTAGCATTGAACTCCTTTTCCTTGACTCTAATATATTTCCCATCTTTAAAATCAGAAGAACAAAACTCCCACTCATCAAATACGTCGTCTGATTTAATGGTGTCTTGCTCATAGAACCCACACCGTTTGCACTTTTTGCTTTCAAGTTTTGTAAGCGGCTGAAGCAAAAAAGGTTATAGTTCCATTAGATACTCTTGACCAAACTGTCAGAGAAGCAAATCTAGTATAACCAGGGACATATAAAAGGACTAAGTTGAGTTAGGCATGTTAACAAGCAAACAGGAAACACCAACTTATCAAGCAGCACAAAGGTCAAGCACGTATGGGGAAACACACACACATACTTATCTGTCCTTGAAATTAATGGTAAAAGGCCATATAAAGAAAAAATTTAAACAAGTTTTCCATGATATGTGGGATTCAACAAAATTATCCTATGGCTATCAGCAATAGCAAAATGCAAAACACTAATTGAGGATCTACATTATCAAATTGAAAAGACTAATTGGGGCATTTCAATTCAACAACAACAAGCATACCTAACCTGTGAAATTACATATTATTTTTTTTTTGGTACATTGAAGAATTAGTTGCTTGGCAACACAAAAGTTGACCTTGACCCCAAATCAAGCCTTTTAAGTTAATGGGTACCAACTCCGCCAAGCAATTGTTGGTGTAAAATTACATATTCTAAAACAGTTAATATATGAACTACTGATAACCACAATCATGAAGCTTCAGTAGCAACATCTAAAACTTGTCTTATCTTTCCTGCTTTCTGTCTTGGAAATCTATAGCAACAAACAAATCAAAATTCTTGTTTAAATCCAGTGAAACAGTTCTCCGATAAAGGCGTTGAACACCAACCTGCCATGATTCTTCGCCCTTGAAAACGTACGGGACGTTTTTATTTTTGACATCAGGCAAAAACGTCCTGTTCTGCCCTTTACATGCAAAATAAACTGTCGGTTTTCCGGGAAACCACTCGTGCGTATTAAATATCTCAATCGAATCCAGTGTAACTACCGCCGATAAAATCAACCCTGCGATACAGATACCACCCAAATTTGGCAATTTAATGAATTAATCCTATAGACAAGATTAATCACAAATAATCTTCGAATCCTATATTTAGTTGTAACCTAATTCGATAATTTCTAAACCTGAGCTGCTGACATGATATAGATGTAAAAAAACAAAGACGACTAAGAACAACAAAGCAGGATCAACATTCTCGAGAAAATTTACCTGGAAAGCAGCTGGAGATGATCAACAACGCAAGAAAATTGCGAGAAAGTCCGCGATTCAGTAGATTCCGAATCGACATGGTTTGAGCTACCATGTTGCGATCAAAGGATGAGAGAAACAAGGAAGAGTGCGGACTTACGCACTGTTCCTTTATCTGGAATTTTCCAGGAAAACGATTGGAACAAGGAAAATGGGGCGGTTTGAAAGTTTTGTTTTGGGTTGAGTTTTGGTGCAGAAGTCAGAACAACCAAGGAAGTAATGGATGATGCGCGGATCCTTAGCGCGGCGGGTTATTGACTTAGGTTACTTTTAGGATTACGGTCAGAAGTTTTTTTTTTTTTTTTGTGTATTTAGATTGTATTTTTAGATATGTATTTGATAATT